GATATTGTGGTGTGCTAATAAATGCCTATAATCCAAAATTCTTAGAAACCGATTCGAAAAACTTCACTTATTAGATGAACCCAAAGCTAAAGATTGGATTCCATTTCTTTCTCTTATTACAATGTGTAAATGATCAGAAACAGAATAGTGTTGTAAATATTTTGATATAAAATGAATGAAGGTTGAAGATTTTACATCAATAAAATTATTTTCAACCCTATTTTGGCTCTGATCTTCATAATAAAGATGCAATTTCGTAACAGAAACGATTTATTACTGTTTTAATTTAAAAAACCGTTAATTTTAGTTACTGTAGTTAGGTAGACAATTAGTGAAGCATTGTTTAATGTAAGTATAACAAATAATGATAAATAGGAAACACTTCGTTCTTTCGATATTTTTGACTTTTTCAACATGTTATATTTTGGCCCAAAAATTTCACGTAAATGTCAAGACGTACGCTATAGCCGTGTGGCCACTCGTCCAGCAACCTTTTTCAATAATGGCATAAGACAACTACACATTAAATACCACTTCCAAATTGTTACTAGAAATACAGATGAATGCAAGAAAAGTAGAAGTAAAATAAGACATAGACTATGTATATATGTATACTATGTCACATAGTATCTGTATTACTGACAGTTAAAACTACTGTAGATTTTGCGTTAACACCATCAAAATAATAATAATACAATAATGCAAAAAGAAAAAAAAGTTCATAAAGCTCATGCAATACTTATTGCCCATAAATTGGGGCAATAATTAAAATTACCGTCGGCAAGCATTTTCCATTTTAATAATAAGAACGGCTAGATAGGTGTTCGGTGCATACTAAATTACAAAATCCACAAAATTTAATCAGTGAGTCAACTTTAAATTACCTATTACGTAATTTAAAGAGGAGTTGGAATTTTGGCTTATTGCGTAAAGTTACAATTTATGATAAAAAAAAAGAGAGAAACGGAGCGATGAGAGAACGAAATGAGAGAAAGGGATGCTGACGCTGCCTGAGACCCGTCTGGAGGGCAGTAAACTGATGGGGATGAAAGTGCAAGAACATCAGGGCTAAAAGTCTGGGTGTCTGAACTCCGATCGCAGACGGCTCATATTGTAGATTACGTCGTGTTTTTGATGTGAACGCGCTTTAAAACAACTTCATTGACTTCCTATAAAATCCAACTGAAAAGTCAGTAACAGCAGGTATCTAACATCAAAGGAAAACTCAAAGTACAATGTTTAGAAGTTATTTCATAAAAATAGCCTTATAAGTTGAGAAAACTTAATTTGCTACTTCGAAATGTTCTTGCTTTTATCATACAAGAAAATCGAATGGAATTATGTGTGTGAAACTGAATTAAAAAAACAGTACAACCCTAAATTCCTCCCCAAACGTTTGGAAACTTAATATTTGGTGTAAGAAACGAACAAACTTGGATTGGACAACTTCTCATGTGGTTTTAGACGATTAATCTTTACTTCTTCTTCTAACAGTTCTTATCTGATCAGAATATTGGCAATCTTCTTGGCTCTCCTTGGTTTAAGATCCACTGTAGTGTCCGACCGAAAGTTCGGTTTCGGTTTCGGTCGAGTTTCGGCAAAAAAAAAACGAGTTTCGGTTTCGGCGGCAAATCTGCCGAAACTACGACCGAAACCGAAACAACGTTCTGGAGTTCTCGCGCTCTGCTCGGTCATGTTCGGCGCGATAAATTCCATCCAAGCGAAAACATCTCACCTAATTTAAGTATTTTTAAGGCGCAATTAAAGTATTTCCTTAAATGATGGGTTGTTATGTTGATTTTGATTTGATTATCAATAAGTGAAAATGACAAAGACTGCAGAGCTATGTGATTTAAAGATAAAAAATAAAACTCACTGATTATAGTAACGTTTTCTTTATTTTTCTCTTAAAACATGATCCTTATAAAGAAGTTTCGGTTTCGGTTTCGGTTTCGGCCGAAACTGAGACCGTTGCCGAAATTCAGTTTCGGTTTCGGTTTCGGTCGTAAAAACCAGTTTCGGTCGGACACTAATCCACTGCAACACGGAAAAGACCTGTGGTGAGTACAGAAGGCCACAATGTTCTTTTTTTGTAACCATGAATTTCTTTCGAATCCTCGATTTTTGATGCGTCAGTTACTGTTCTCTTCATTATCTTCATCTCTCCAGAAAACATTATTCATCGCTTTACTATTAGTTCGTTAGCATCATCTTCTTCATTAATGGTGCTATTTCCGCAGCTTTTTGACTCGACAAAAGTATCCTAAAGGATCTTTCCCGATAAATGGGTTGAGAAATACTAAAAGATGTGCTGTTCCACTAGGATGAAGACATTTCTAAAATCTAAGCCCCTAGTTTATATTTAGAGACCGCTCTTCAAATCATGAGCTCTGAACGTAGTAAGAACTAAAAGTACCTTCACTTGTAACTCATGGGCAAAAAAAAGGTCCGTGTGATGTCGATACTATCGATTCTAAACTTGCAACTAAAGCCTGGTTCATATTATCGGTCAAGTCACATTCTGGTCATGGAAGGACATCTGTCCTATATTTTAAGCGTTCAATTTTGACATATCCTCGAGTCTAAAGAAGACAAACAGCAAAGCCTTTTAAAATTGTTATGTGTACATGCTGAGGCGGTTGTGGTTCTGGTTGTGGTTAGCGTCTTGGTTCACCACTCTGCCAGATTCATCTACCTATCCTTTACATATTTCTAATCATTGATTAAATAGCCTTGAATAAATGTGATACATTGTCAGTAAAAACTAAATATCTTTGCTTTAAAATAATACACAATCCATTTATGAACAGCATTAGCACTATCGTTTTTGCACTCAATAAGTTTTAAGGACAATAAGTTCTATACTAGGTACAGATGCTTAAGTACAGTTGGACATGTCAAAATATGATTAGTATTCTACTGTTTTCTACAATATATAAAGTTAGTGTATGATCAGTACCGTCGAGTCCAGTTTTCCTTTGGAGCTATTTAATTACAGGTGTACCCAAAGGTCATCAACGCGGCCATTTGCAACTTTTAATTCTCATGCTCCCTATGTACTACATGTATGCAATAGTTGTGCACGATTCACAAACCCGAGAAATAATTTGGCTTGTTTGTATGATCCAGACGTTTGGCGTAGTAGTTGGGAAACTATTTCGGTTGCGATTATTAGATACATTTAGCAAGTTTTAATGTAGATTCCAACCGGGGCCAGTTGCTATTGCGATATGACTAACTTTTGACTTTGTATAATTTCAAACACTAATGAAAACCCATGGAAATGTCAGTCCAATGCAGCCAACACACCACCTATTTGCTTGTACATTGAGGTTTCACTTTTCGTTTTGACGTGACAACGTCTTATAATTCGAGGGAGCCGGCTGCACGCACGAAAAAACATGACTCATGCGGCGTTACCTCGCTCTGAGGCGTTCCATTTAAGGTTTGAAGTGCAAGCGAGATCGCGGAACAACCAACAAAGAGGCACAATCGGTCTCCGCGTTCGGCAGCGTTCGACATCTGTCTCTCTCCCACTTGAGTAAGCGATGCGTCCGCGTGGACAGCTGCTAAACAATAATACATTTCCATTTACCTCCTTCTCTATATCCATACAAAATATCTATCAAACAAATAAAATTAAAATTTTCTTTTGAAAAATGAAACCATTCCATCAGTATTTTCATATGACGTTGTCACGTTCAACTATCGTCAGTAAACCGACTTTACAGACAACCGATTTTTTATTAAAACCATTCGAACCGTTCGCTAAAGGCGATAGTTCGCTACTAATGTGTTCGTTATATTCAAGGATTATGAATGACGCTTGGAATGTAATTTTTTATTTAAATTTCGTTCGTTTAAACCAAGTGTTTGTTATAACTGGTGTTCGTTATAGCCGATTTCGACTATGTCTAACAAGTACTACTGGTATAAGAACCAAGACGGAAAAAATTATCACCAACTGAATGTGTTCTCCTTCAAACAAGGAGTTGAACCTCGCAATTACGACAGTTCTCGTCAGTCGTTACGAACTGGAAAGTGGTGCGTGACTTTTTTAAAGTCCTTAAGTTAGAAAACGGGGAAAAAGGGCTTTTATAACACGGTCTATGTATATTACACAGTAGAATATCCAACACCAGTCACATACGTATACAAAATTTCCCAATACAAAAATAAATCTAAGAATACTTTTAAATCCTTAAAGCCTCTTTTTTCCGCAGTGATTATCCAAATTCTAAAGAATATATCTCGTGCCGTAAAACTGTAAAGGCAATTCTTGTATGAAAAGGACTCAATTTCGTGCAAGAAATTATAAGATCTCTTTTAAAACCACATTATCTATTACAAAATGATTTCTTTGCATTTCTCAAAAAAATGTATTTCTGGTTGGTTTTAAAAATATTTTAAAATTATGATAGAAATATTGATCGTCAGAAAACACTATTATGGGTTTTGAAATCATAAAAGTTCTAGGTTTTACCCGCACTGCTTCGCTTGCATTGATATCCTAAATAAGTGTCAAAAATCATCGACGAACACAATTTTTTTTCTATCCTTAAGAAACAGTATTCTTTTTCTGGATAATACGTACCACCTTTTCTGCACCCCTGGCAATGTGTAGATATACAAAATTTCATGATAGGTTTGACTAGCGGCTTCACTCGCGTTGATAACCTCAGAATTCATTTGAAATAACCCTAAGAAATTTCTATTCGGAGTGTATGAAGTGGTGGTAAACATATTTTTTAAACCACTACCAGTGTATATGAATAGTGAATATTCATACCGATCTGTAACACTAAACATCAAAAGAACAAATTCGTCCAATGAAAAATAAAGATAAATGACTCCATTATACGTTTGAAATTTTCAATTTCCTTCTTTGCGTTCACTATGAAGCGTTTCACTTCAATTTTCCTCATCATTGAAATACAACGTTACAATTGCCTATCTGTCTTATGAACAGTGCATTGATCGACATTTTCGTTTTGTTTCAGGTGTAACACGTAATGGCACGTGCTGGCATGGCTCTTCACCGTCGAGGAGGTACAAACCACGGGAACATCGAGTAAGTCTATCTCACTTGACCGCATAATTTACGTATCCCCTCTTGGGCTACTTTATCTGTTAACTTGAAATGAATTAAGAACCTGAGTACCGAGATACCTTCTGCTTAGAAGTGATTTCTACAATAATTTTTTTAAAGCGGTTTCGCAACTTTTCTTATATCCTAATAACATCAAAATAAAAGCAATATAAAGTAAAGATCAAGGCAATTACGGGTTGGAAAGTTTTTATTTATAAAGAACCAAGAAGGTGTTTCTTCTTCATAAATAAAAACCTTCCAACCCTTAATTGCCTTGAACTTTACTTAATGTTATCCTAACTACGAGATGAAATGGAGAATAAAAGCAATATAACGCAATGAAAAATATTGTAGCAGTTTTTCTTCATTATCATTTCTTTCTAATTTGTTCATAGGGTCATCATTCCTAAGACTGGCTGGGTATGCACCTCTACTCTTGCTTATCCTAAGCTAATTTTCACAATTCTCTAACACTAGAACATTCCACATCCTTAACTATTTGCGAACAATAATCTAATCTAGATTTACCTCTACTCTTCTTAACTGCTGTTTCTGCCTTTAATATGTCTCTGACTAGACCTTCGTACCTAAGAAGATATCCTATTAACCTATCTCGCCTATTTCTTATTGACTTCCATAGAGTCCTTTGTTCTCCTATTCTTTCTAATACCTCTTCATTTCTAACCTCCTCTATCCACGATATCCTCATCATTAGCCTGTAACACTACATTTCAAACACTTTAAACCTTTCCTTTCGACAGCATAGAGATGACTTCTTTTTGTTATTTTGATAAAAATATAGTGAATATTCAAATATATTATGTAAACAAAATGATTTTAAATTCATGCAATGTACTACTTGTATTTTACTCCCTGGAATAGGGGCTCGTAGTTCACCCTTTGGGTATTTCCTGACTAACGGGCCCGATTAAAAATTTAAGCCGTGTAAGCAAACAGTTTTCCTGGAACAAATTGTTCGGTAAATTGATTTTAAACTTGTAATGGTTGTACTAGCAGTAATGTACACCTGCTATTAAAAGTACGCAGTTTGCTGTTAGTAGAAGTATAAAAGGTTCCAGCAAAATACCCCGGTCCGACTCCGGGAGTGGTGGCTATAGAAATTTTAAAGCACTTTGTATTCAACGTCCGTACAACAATTTGAAACAAATCCTTGTTTAAAAAGCTGAAATTACAATGAAGTGGTCGTTTATGATGCAGTTAGTGATCAAATGTTACATTGTTTTCGTTTTATAACGTTATTACAGAGCTATTAAATCATATAGAAACAAACTGATTTATTAAAGTGAAACAGGTATATATCGCCAGATGAATGATGGTACATAGTTAATTAATTAGTTTAGAGAAGTTCCCGATGACTCTCTGATGAATTTTATATAATCAAATACTAAAACCAATGGTTTGGCGAAAACTTTTTTGTTTCATTCTCGAAAAAAAGATTTTTTTTGCATTTCTTCAGTGCTTTTGAATGCCTTTGATTTGATTATTCCTTGTCATCATCATAACGTCGTTAGTTCTAAGACTGGTTGGACACGTACCTCCACTCTTTCCTATCCTGAGCTAAACTTCGCATTTCCCTAAAACTAGAACAGCTACATCCTTAACTATTTGCGAACAGTAATCTAATCTAGGACTACCTCTACCCCTCCTAACTCCTGTTTCTGCCACTAATATGTCTCTGACTAGACCTTCATGCCTAAGAAGGTGTCCTACCTACCTATCTCGCCTATTTTTTATTGACTTCCATAGAGTCCTCTGTTCTCCTTTTCTTTCTAATACCTCTTTATTTCTACCCTTTTCTACCCACGATATCCTCATCATTCGCCTACAACACCACATTTCGAACGCTTCTAACCTTTTCTTTTCCGCCGCGCCCACTGTCCATGTTTCGCACCCGTACAATGCCGTGCTCCAAACATACACCTTTAACAACCTTTTTCGAATTTCTAAATTAACCGTTCGCGAGCATAGAAGTGACTTCTTTTTATTAAAGGCGACACGACCCTGCGCTATCCTCTGCTTTATATCCCTACTACTCCTTCCATCCTCACTTATCTGACTTCCTAGGTATCTAAAATCAGCCACTTCTTCTAATTTTTCGTCTCCTATCTTTATATTCGCTCTTTCCTTACTTTTTCTTCCCTTGCATACCAGTATTTTTGTTTTACTTTTGTTTATTTTCATACAGTACTGTTTTGTCAATACCGCTTCCATTTTATTTAAAGCTATCTCTAACTCCTCCTTGGTAGATGCTAATACTGCTATATCATCTGCAAATCTAAGCATACTAATCTTTTGCCCTTGCACATCTATCTCTACAGTTGTACTGTCTTTAATGATGTGAATCGCGTCTTTTATGAATAGATTAAAAAGTAGCGGTGAAAGTGTGCATCCCTGTCTGACTCCCTTCCTAATATTTATTTCTCTACGTTGCATCCCTAGCTCTATAACTGCCTGTTGCTCTTTATACAAACTAAGTATCACTCTTCTATCTTTCTAACTCAATTTTAAGTGTATTTAACATCTTGTCCCATTTAACATTGTCAAAAGCTTTCTCTAAATCTACAAATCCTATGTACACACTCTTTCCTTTTTCTATTGCTTGTGATCTATACAAAAACTACTTCCAAACAATTTGACTAAAAAGATTCCTAAACATAAGCTGCTTGTTTCTTATTAAATTTTTACTTTTCCACCTACGTTTGTTTATAAAATGTTGTTCATTCCATTTCCACCTAAAGAACCAACGTACCTGATATTTTCCTATATATTGACTCAAATTTTTAATTCGTCTCTCTCTTAAAACAAAACTTAATGAAAGCGAATAAAAGATATTGATTTATTTCTATATGTAACAGTGAAATTCCTCAAGCTTTAGTAATTTTTTCAGTATTATCTTTATCTTTATCGAAATGAGTACATACTTATTTTGACTTACAAAGAATTCTTTACTCCGTGCAGCCGATTCATATTTCTTTCTATTGCGAAATCCACTAAAATCCTGCGATTCTGCTATGTGTATAACGCGGAATAAGTCCTTTGACTTTTTTGTTCTCTTTCTTCCGACATATAAACGGTATAGACAGACCGACAGAGACGTAATTGCATGGAGTGAATAGAGAACGTTTGCCGGAAGGACCGAACTTCATTAGCACTGGAAAACGAAGACTGCGAAGAAGACGAAGAAACCTAAACCACCCTTTCTCCCTAGCGACAAAACTTAACTTTGTATCGTTGCCAACAACGTTTCTGTATCAATGAAAGAAATGCATTCATTTTGAAACATGTTCTCAACAAATCGTCATCATAGAAGGAAAAACCCCAAGCAAACGAGAGTCTTACAATTCCGTTTCTACTAATTAACGAATTTTGAGGATAGTTTGTTGTTGAATCGTTGCTTGAACTCGAAAAATGCCTGGATGTGATACATTTTTTCCGTTAGTGCGATAATTATGTGAATAGAATGTGGATTTGAAGATGCTTACGTTTTCGAAAGAAGTTATGAATAAAACCGGTTGCTCCAGAATTTAATGAAGCATTATTTAATCCAAAACTGTTTTTGTTTCATCCTCCTATATTTATCAACTAACTAGTCGACTACTTCGTCAACAGAAGTACACAGAATAATCTAGGAATGTATAAGGAATGTATTGGGTCGATTTGATGAATAATTAATTTATATAGTGTTAAATAAGTTTGATTCTAGCTATAAACAAAATTCTGGAAGACCAAAAAATTATTTTAATCCTAAAAGAATAAAGTTTCTTGTCAAATTGTTAGCATGTCTACATATGTTCAATAAAATTACGTAATTATCCTCGGTTACACATTTTGTAGCTATTTCGCTACGTTTCGGTTTTCTTTCTGACAATGCAAATTCACTTTGGCTTTCATGTTTCAGTGGAATCATCATTTCAAAATTTAGGCTTAATGTACAAATATTTATTATTCATTTATTCGATAGCTTTATTCGTCTTGGTGTAAGTATAATCTTTCGTAATTTTTCCAAATACAACATCATTATCAAAGAAAATTGCTTATCACGTTAATCTATTAATTTTCCTGTAAAGTTTATTTAACTAATTTGATCGTTACGTATAATACTCTGAGTAAAGTTTAATTATAAAAATAAAATCTTTACAAAATACTGCTCATTTTGAAAATAAGCAGGAAAACAGATGATAAAATACTGAAACTAAAAGTACTTTTCCTTTCTTATATGTGGAACGAAGTGAATTTCGTTAACTGCTGTTTTCACTACTACGTATTTTTATGTACATTTTAAATGTGGAATTCTAAGGCATGTAAAGTATTCAAACATTTAATATTTTTATTTTTGACATGAATTATTCATTTGTTTCAGCGGAGCAGACGACGTTCAAAGATCAATTGAGCTTTTGGATCGTGTGCTTTCCGAATTCGATGATGTGGAAAATGCCAATCAAATCCAAAATGTAGGTAAAGTATTTTTAAAAATTGCTCACTCTTTTTTGAATGAACAAATAAAACAATTAGAATCTATAGATTACCGTGCATGATTTTTTACGTGTCGAAAATAAAAAAAATTACAACGTGTAATTATACAACACGCTACTGAAGTGAAACTTCTTCAAACACACAAACATACCGGGATAGGGGTTAAGGAATTGGTTTAATGGTATTATTTGTACACTATGCTTCGCACGGGGGCAATGCTGATAGCAAATATACTATAGAATGTCTTTATATACAACAATCACAGCTTTTTTGTCATTAGACTATACAAACCGGCCGGTACCGCCGAAACAGCTATGTCCCTGCATTTTAAGTCTAAAATATTCATTTAAATTACATGCTGTAAAGGGCCATATTGATCTATATTAAATGCACAATGTATTTAAAACTACTTAATTGGATAACGATTAATGCTGTATTGCTTACAAATCGCTTCGTAAATAAGCCATTATTTCTCGTAAAAAGTAAAGGATAAAAAATGGTTATTGTGAGTTATCCCTAAGAGATAGACATACGAGGGTGGATTGATAAGTTTCCGGCCTAACCAAGAGATGACGCCACTAGGCCTACCTTGAGGTGACATTCTATAGTACCATCCTTGGATAGCTTGTAGCTATAGTTTCAGCCCGATCTCCTTGCTAGTGTAGGTTTGACAGCACGCTGAACAAGACGCCTCTGTGGTTTTCGTAAAAATGGAAAAGCAGGAAAATCGTGCTGTCATCAAATACTTTTATTTGAAGGGGTTAACGCCGAAGGAAATTAAAAAAGAGATGGACTCAACACTGGGGACATCCTCCCCGTCATATTCAACCGTTAAGCAGTGGGTTTCCGAGTTTAAAAAGGGTCGTGTGAGCACCTCTGATGGGCCTCGCTCAGGACGCCCCGTTGAGGTCACAACTCCAGATATGATCGAAAAAATTCATCAAATAGTGCTGGGAGACCGCAGATTGAAAGTGCGTGAGATAGCTGAGACCTGTAAGATGTCATATGAACGTGTGCAACATATTTTGCACCAACATTTGCATATGGAAAAGCTCTGTGCAAGATGGGTGCCGCGTTTGCTAACAGTCGACCAAAAATTGATTCGAAAAAACATTTCTACCGCAAATTTGTCATTGTATAAGCGTAATCCAAGCGAATTTTTGCGTCGATTCGTAACCGTTGACGAAACGTGGGTCCACCACTACACTCCTGAAACCAAAGAACAGTCTAAACAGTGGATTGGACCAGGGGAACCAACTCCAAAGAAGGCAAAAACAATTTTTTCGGCGAACAAGGTTATGGCTACTGTTTTTTGGGATGCAAGAGGTATTATATACATTGATTACCTTGCAAAGGGTAATACTATCACTGGTCAATACTACGCAGACTTATTGCAACGTTTGAGCCACGAGGTGAAAATTAAACGACCTCATCTGGCGAAGAAAAAAATCTTGTTTCATCACGATAACGCACCAGCGCACACGTCAATCGTTGCGACGGCTAAAATCAACGATCTAAAGTTTGAATTGATGCCGCACCCTCCTTACTCTCCAGACCTAGCCCCGAGTGACTATTTTCTGTTCCCTAATCTCAAAAAATGGCTTGGCGGTAAGAGATTTGCGGACAATGAAGAAGTAATCGAAGCTGTAAATGGTTATTTTGAGGAGCTTGACGAATCAGTCTATAGAGATGGCATTAATAGACTGGAACACCGCTATGAGAAATGTATCAGCCTTGGAGGAGATTATGTTGAGAAATAAAAAAAAAAAATTTTTAAAAACCTTGTTTTTCTTGGTCAGGCCGGAAACTTATCAATCCACCCTCGTATACCATCGCGAACTTTTTTGTAAACCTTTTTAAGGTGTACAATACTGTAGTATATTATTTTGATCTATCTCGTAGGATTCAGCCAGCGTTTGCATTGTAAGCACAAAAATGTGTTTATTTACGACATCACATTACAAACGTCTAAAATTATCAGTGTTTCTCTACTATATTATGCATGCATTATACATATAAACCTTCCTCTTGAATTACTCTATCTATTTAAAAAAAACGCATTAAAATCCGTTGCGTAGTTTCAAAGATCTAAGCATACGTAGGGAGAGACAGCGGGGGAAATGCGTTGCATGATTTCGTTACATAGCAACTCGCATGAAAGATGTAAAGAAGTTTCACTTCAAAATTAATATTCTTTCAAAATTACGTCCCTTTCAACGTAATGCTTTTTTTTATTTCTCTGTACATATTGTGTAAAATCAAAGTTCGATTTAATCTTCAATCAATTACGATGAAATTTACATTATGTTAGGTTTCGGCCCATGCAAATCCAGGCTGCAATGAACCGGGGAACGTGTCGTCAACTCCAGATGACGAAAGTCCATCATTAGGTCATCAGTCAGAAGACGATGGTTATATGAGCATGAACGGACGGAAAGCGAAATTTTCTCTCGCCTTCAAGCCGTTAACAGAAGTTCCTGCACATCAAGAAAACTCCATGCCACCTGGAGACCTGAATGATTTCCCACCTCCACCGGAGGAAGCCGAAAGATTAATTTCCACCTTGCTTCCAAAGTAATATTTATTATTCCTCGAGAACAACAAAATGTATTCACTTCAATTGGTTTTATTTCAGGGTCTCTCCTGTTAAAAAAATTGGTAGCAATGCCAGGGCTTTCCCTCTCACTCAAATTTTCCCAAGGAGTGAGAACACAATTCCTCCTCCCCGATCGTTTCAAAACTGCAAGATTTCATCCAGTGACAGTAGTACTTCTTCAGAATCGAAACATATCGCCACGCAAACGACACTGGTAACATTATAATTCTGAAATATTTATACCATTGTTGGGTACGCTGATTTTTTTCCAGCCAAAAACCCGTCACCAACGACCTTACGGTTGGGAAAGAGCAAACAACTCTTCCAGAAGTCCTCAACCGCCTCCAACGGGTTGCCGTTACGGCAGCTTACCGTTTTCTCATGGTGTTTACGCCGTGTCTTCGCCTACCAGAGTTCCTCCACGAACCGTGCCTACAGCTATCGAACGTCACAGGGAGGTCCGTCGTCACGGTAGCGAAGATAACCTCTCGAGTGACATGGACGAATCCGCACTGCGACCGTTGAGTGAACTTGCCGACGACGAACGATTCTCCGACGATTCCCTCGAGGAAACGTTACCGCCACCTCCGACTTATACAAACAAACGTAGCAGTATAGCATGGGAAGTGCCATTGGACGATGAAAGTCTTATGACACCAGGAAGTACAAAAGTTGTGGGCAGAAGGAGACGAAAATCTGGTTCACATTCCAGCACGAGCTCAATACCTAGCCGATTGAAAGAACTAGACGATTGGCCCGACCCTCCTCCGTACAGTACCGAAGAAGAAATGGCTTCACCGTTTTCTGACTCTGACGACCACATAGCACTACCTCCAGAACTGAACAGCGGTAACTTAAGTGGAACTAGCACATATATCATTAGACGAGGCAAAAAAGACAGAAAATCCCTCACCAACGTTAACAGCAGTCTTAATTCTAATTCATCTCTGAACTCGAGATTAAGCTCGGACCTCAGTATTCCAGCATCTAGATTTAGTGTTGACTTGAACGCTCGGCTAAGTAGAGAATTAAGCACTCCAAACTCGAGATACAGCATAGATCTTAGTACACCTCATTCGCGACTCAGTTCGCCTAAATCTAGACTGAGTTTGGATTTGAACAACTCCAGGCCTCCGAGTCAAGAATACGCAAGTTCCTGTTCCCGATTGAGCGCTGAACCTCCGAATTCTCGATCCAGCACTCCTATCAGTCGACACGGAAACGACTTCAAGAAACACAGCACTACTTTTGATAACATTAAGTCGTTTATAAAGGAAAGCACGGTGGAAACTTGCACGGAACCCACGGTCGAAACCGCAGCGGAATTTCTGTCACCTACGTCGCCAATAGTTCGAGTTGTTTCGTTGCCCAGTTTGAATGCTGAAGAAGGTACTCCAAAAAGAGAACTTGCCGTTACGGTGGAAGAAGAAGAAGACGTCGAAAGTTCGAACAAGTCGAGTACTGAAGTGTCACCCCTCAGGAAAATTGAACAAAATATTAGCGAACTATTAGAACGTCGAGACATACAAGTATCGAGCATTGTACAGGACGATAAGTACATAATTCAACTTAACGGTGTCCCTGCCGACAAAAAATCCAGTGACAACAGCCTGAGGCGTGCCAATGACAATCAAAATCATAGCAATTACAATGAGGAGTACTACCGAAAGTTGTTAATAGAAAGCGGTAATGTGCAACATTATCCAAAACGAAGCATTCAAAAGTCTGAAAGTGCTAAAGAGATGTTAATAGCCCACAAAGAAAAGACTTCTTATCCGTTGAAGAACTCGTCGTCGGTAGACTTTTCGCCCAGAAACGATTCTTTCCAGCACGATTTTCCACCACTTCCGCCGTCACCCGTTGAGGAAGACGACGACGAATACTCAGAGATAGTTCAACCGTTTAAAAATAAGCAAAAATCTGAAACTTTACCTTCCAGTTCTGAACCACCGGCAGTGCCTCCACACAGAGACCAAAGTTCAAACAGTTTGAAAACGCGTTCGATGGACGCTGGATTTAGCAGAGGAAGACGGAATTACTCATCGAATACGTCCAACAGGAACTTCCTTCCAGAAAGACGCACACTGCCGACTGAAATGCAAGGCACTAAGAGGAAGACCTATCAGAAGAGATCTTCGCACAGTCCACAAGAAGAACATCATTTGCAAACTTCCTGTAGTCTACCTGAGACCCCTATTTTCGCAAGAGGGTGTGATATTCCAAGGACGCCGCATAGGAAGGCGCCTGATATTCCTCCACATAGCGGAAGACTTGCTCCCAGACAGAGTAGCACCATGGGTAGTTTAAGTACCATCGGTAACATGTCCACTGGAGGGTACAAGCGTAACTCTAGTCTTGAACAAGCCATAGTAGGGGCGGAACTATTACGATTAGCTGGAGGACCAGGAAGAGGTTGGTACCCAAAACAGAGGGCGAACAGACCAGCATCGATTGAACATTTGGATCGTTTAGCACCTGGACATAATCCGTGGGATTCCAACCGAAAACCACTGACGCTTCCACCTAATCTCACTCCCAAGTTTTTCCAAAGATCACCCAGGGATGCCCTTAGGAGAGTGACGAGCTTATTAATTAAAAAAGGTAAGATTTAAAAACCAATTTAATATCATTGATTTCCATTATCCATAACAAGTTAAATTATTTTTAAATGTTTAAACATTTTAAAAACGAAATGATGCGCTTTTTAATTAAATAAACCAGAAAGGAACTTCAAAGATACGAAAACAAATGCAAAATTTGGTTGCAAATATTTACTAGTAATCGACAATTAAATGGAGTTATTTTTTCACCTAAAAAGGTCAAATAATTAGCTAACAAATACTTGTAAGTACTTAAACTTTGTATTTGTCTTAGTGTTTTTGAAATAGGGATTACAAGAAGTGAAAACCTGCTGGATTTTATACGAAATAGAATTTTCCCCTCATTTTCATACAACTTTCGCTGGCCACAACTGAGAGCTTTTTGTAATATTTGTTTTACTTACAGATCTTCTTTTAAATAAATTTTTCATCAGTTTATACCTTAAACGACATCTATACTTAGTCAGAAAAGTTGACAAATTTTCTCGCGGCAAATTTTCACGCGATCGATAAATTTTCCTGCAGTTGCAAACGTTTCATCCAGATGGCAGATTAGTAGTAAACTATCTTTTAAAATTCTCTCGTTTTAACACTAGATAGCTCCGTCTGTTACTATTACTACATTATTTAAATTAACTTCTATTTCTTTATATCAATTTAATATTTGCAAAATAACTCATTCACGTACATATTTTTTTGAATAGCTTTTAAATACAAACGGAGGGTAATAACTGTTGTTATCTTTTAATATTTGTTGCTAAATTAATACAAAGTATTTCAGAGATTATTGTATTAACAATATTAGTGTTACATTACCGTAATTTTTTATATTTGTTGCAGGAAACGCCGGAAAAGAATCGAAAAAAGAGAAGGATCTTACGAATATGAAGTTACACGAATCAGCAAGTGGTAAGTTAATTTTTAAATTAATACCTATCTTAAGGGCGCCACAATTGTTGTACTTCATAAATACGTAAAGTAAATAACAATTTTACTTTTTAATTATTTATTGGTAATTTATGTTTTGCAAAAGTCCTGTACAGGAAGGATAGAAAAGAATTAAAGGTATTTCATATACAAACTTTAATTATCTGCAAATTAATCTCTCGTTTGCTTTGCTGAGTATATTTAGTTTGTTTAATAATTTTATATTAAGAAATCAAAGAATACAGGACCTTTATCCATATAATGTAAATGGGTAGTTTTTAATTTCGTAAATTTGTTAACACTACATTTAATATTTCTTTTTGTCATTTCCATATTTTCCATTTGAAAGAAATGATTTTAAATTTCTCTAATATTTCCCGGTTTATTGATACAATTTATCATATTTTCCGTAATTTTTATATTTATTTTAATATTTTT